GCCATCAACTCAGTCAGGTACGTGAAATCGTCCCCCGCCCAGCGTTGATGGAGCGTCGAATCGCAATCAGGGCGTTCGGTGCGAGTAGGCTCGCCGATTGCCTTGAGGTAGCGGGTGTCAGAGTCCCCCGCTCGCCTTCGGCCGCGGTCCCCCTCGTTCTCTGTCCTTGACGATTTCCCCGGCGAGAACGGGGATGGTGAGGTCGCGTAGGGCAGCAAACTGGTAGAAGCGAATGGATGGCAGCACGTCCGAAGGAGGCTTCCCCCGGGGTTTCACAACTCTCTCTCTGTAGCTCTCACCGACCGGGTTTTGAGGTGCCTGGACACGGGGCGGCACCTTGAACCACTTGCTTGAGCCAAAATGTCTCTCTCTCTCTCTCTATATATATATATACAATGAAAATCAACAAATAAATAAATAAAAGTATATTATATATATATATAGAGAGAGAGAGAGACATACATGTATGGGTATGGCTTCAGGGTGCAACCCATCTGCTGCGTTTCTGCTTTCCTGAAAAATCACCGCCATTCCAACGTATCCACAGAGAGCAATGCCAAACACATCCACAATGACGAACACCAGAAAACCCAAAGCTCAACAAAGTCGTGGTCCAAGGCGCTGGAATACAGAATTTCCGGAAGATATCCAGGACATTTGTGCTTCTATTTTTGGCCATGTTGGTTATGTCGGTTTCGTTTTCATGTTTGTATATATTTGTCGTAGTGGTATCATTGATCGGGGCTGGCTGGTGTTCGTTGGTTTTGCTGACGTGGTGTCTGACGTGACCCTGCGTGTATCTCTCTCTCTCTATATATATATATATACACACACATCATACATCTGCAAACCTTTATGTAGTTGGCTGGCACTTCTTCTCTCGCACTGTACCAGGCTGGCTTGCACTTCAAAAGGCTGATGGAGTCGCTCCTCGCTCGTGCCAACCGATCAAATAGAATCAGAACTCCTTCTTCCAAGCAGCATCACCAATGCTGTTGCCTTGGCTGTGATCTCTGATCGGAGAACTACGGGCAGCGTGGACCAGGTGGAGTCGGCATCTACCGGTACCATCTCGCGTTTGACCTCGAAGGGACTTCTTTAGGCTGAGGCCATCCTGCAATGTGTGGCTTGATGCAGTAATTAAGCCGCCAAGAACCTCCCATTGAGATTTTGTTGCTCATTGAAGTCCGACTGATGCGCACATGCCACCCCAAGAAAGGCAAACGACAACGAATGCCAGAGCTTTCCTTGAGCTCTCCCTGGCGAGCTGCAATAGAGGTATAACCGGCGCAAGGCAGGGAGGCCGCCGCTCCGAGCCGCAGCCGAGAAAGCCGACAAGCCCGCATCCCCGAAATGGTTGTCCTGTCAGCGCATGCTCAAAAATGCTGAAAGCATCTGAGCGGGATTCTGTGGAGCTAAAAACACATCCGCGGCATAGCGATAGTGCAGAATCTGAAGCAGCTGAGTGCACGACGATTGCAAAGAAGTCCGTCAGCTGGCCTGAGTTCGAAACGAAAGCTCCATCCCATGATGGAGTTGCTGAACATCGCGAAGAAAACTTTCATTCTGCGGGGAGTATACTAGACTATACGTGTCGGACGTTTTCCTATGCATTCCGCAGGATCAGACCAGTCGTGCTGTGACAATGTCGGCCCAGTAGCTGAAAGGGAGCAGCATGCACGCCCTTGCCAGTGCAGACAAACCCCTGTCACCGACTTCGTTCACATTGATGCAGAAGTCATCCACAGAGGCCATCGTGATGCAAAACCTTGCACAGGTGCTACTGTGCCTCACGTTCCTTAACTCCTTATTGACGTCGCAGTACATGCTACTAAGAATTGAAGCATGACTTTGCTCAGGCTACTTCAGTCACACTCTATGCAAAGCTGTTTCCAGGCAAAGCAGGTGCATGCTTGTGAGTTTTTGTCACATATCTATGGCCAACTACCAGTAACTACCGCATTACAACCGTGATCCGTTTTATGGGAACATGCTCAGTTGAACTTGCCAGGCAATGATGATGTCCATGGATGTTGAATCCACCGGATCTTTTTGCTGTCAAGCCGCTTCGCACTCGAACAAAGAATCTCCTTACATCTCCGCATGACTACAACCTGAAACCATCGCGACCACTGCATACCTCCATGCGGGGCCCAAGTGGTTGTGTGCGGCCCAGGTGCAAGCTCATCGTCCGTCAAGAAGCTTTTCCTTGCATTCAAGATCTGTTGCAGAGGGCGCTTTCAGGCGCTGGTCAGCATGGCTGCTTTGGGACAAGGATCTTGAAGTTGAGCTGCTTGGAATCGAACTTGGCGCCCCTGGCCTTCACAAGCTACCAAAAGCAAGTGAGTGAGCCGGCAGATACTGAGCTCTAATTTCCAGCATGTGCTGAAGACCACCATTCAAACCAGGCCGGCAGTCAGTTTCGCACAGCTTCCAGAAAAGAACTGAATTTGAACTCTTGCACAGACCCCAGGTCGAGGTTGCAAGGAGTTTCACTCTTCTGTAGGCACTGCCTTGGCATGAAGGAGCACATCTGCATGAGCATCCTCAGCTGCACTGCATTGTTCGGCGACAAACAGCAAAAAGCCAGCATGGCTGCCATCATCAAGCATTTGCGTGCATCGCGACCAAGACTCAATGGCCTCTGCTTTTCTCTCCTGTGCGAGCCAAAGACCAAGCAGCACGCTCACCGAATCAACTCGACCCTGATCCGAACCTCTTTAATAGACCGTGCATCGAAATGCATTTGCTTCAAGCGCGAAATGAAACACATGCGGGCGCCGCATGGCGATGGCTCCTGCAGCGTGTCTGCCCAAGCAGTGCGCAGTGATTCACAGGATTGCCTGTGTGGATTGCTGTGCCGAGATGAATCAGTCTTAGCCTAACGTGCAGCGTGCTTCTGGGAGTGTCTGCGTGTCTCAGCAGGTCACGCCAAGGCAACAACATCGATGTCGCAGAAGCAGCTCCTGCAGGTCCCGTCACGGCTCGCATTGGGTCCCCGGTGTTTTCTTGCAGGTCCAGGTAGGTGCGTAATAGCGATTGCTAGTCTTCGGCCCTCCTTCGTCTCGCCTACATAGCCATTGACCGATTGACCCTGCCCGTGCAGTGCCTGTGCAAGGTAGGCAGCGTTGTGTCCAAGACCTCTTGCACGGCAGCATCTACCGCCATTGGGGCTGAAGAATCATGCGGAAAAGCAGACAGTATATAACTTCAAATCGATAGACGAAGTGCCTGTCTGTTGAACCTGTCATTTGAGCCGAGTCTAATCAGAGTCTTCTCTGCTGTCATCATGTGAGAACGGATGCACAAGTTGTACAGGCGTTTGCTCTACTGCTGGGCATGCACATCCCCCCCCACCCCCCCGCACATCCGCGATCGAATGAATGGCTGCAGCAAGCGCATCTATGAGTGCATGAGCCTTGAGAACGAGAGATATATCCTAGCTTATGAATCCGCGACAACATCAAGTTGATAAACTGGGTACATGTAGGGCAGAATGCCGATCGATCGAATCAAATATCTGGAGGCACGCTTTTGACATAGAAGGTCATAAAAGTACAAAAGAACCGACTAGGAAATACGGATATTTGCATAGCGACAAGGTGCCAAATATCTAAATCCTTCGCAGCTTCTCTGCATATGTCCAGCCTGCGTAGTAATTACCAGCGTCGATACATGGCATTGAAAGTATGCCAGTGTTCGCAGGCAGCTTCGGCATTTTCACTTATAAAAGTATTGATGTGAAATGTATTGATGGTGCTAGCTCCAAGACACTCCACACAGCAAACAGGTCAGATCATCCCTGCAACATCCCTGCGCACTGAGCGAGAGCGCGTGTGTGTGTGTGTGTTTGTTTGTGTGCGTGTGTGTGTGTGTGTTTGTTTGTATTTGTTTGTGTTTGTTTGTGTTTGTT